TCTGCCGCTCGGTAGCCGCTTCCCGAATACACCACCGGCACACCCCGGCCAACACGTCTCCCCGAACTACAAGTGGGGTTCCTAGATCTGTGCAGTCGGCTAATCTAGGGGCCTTAGTAATTAGGCTAGAGTTTAAGGGCCCACTATACCATACTTATAATAAGGAACCCCCAAAATAGTATTGGTAATTATTCAGGTCCCTACAGTATACGTCGATTTCTCCTGGCTCCTTGTCGTGGATCCCACTTGGCGCGGTCCGGGCGTGCAGATTGAATTTGAAAAGGATTGCGCTGGACTGGGACAGGATCGACGAGCTATTCACAAAAAAATCACCTAATATGGAGGGGGCTCAATAATTACCAATACTATTTAGGCGGCTCCTTGCTATACTTATAGTAGAATATACCCCAAAACCATACTCGAATCATTAAGGCCCTATGAAGCCCTTTAACCTTAAGCCACAGAAAAAGATGAGCTCACTTATCTTCCTGGAGTTTGTGCTTTGTGAACGGACATCGAGTTGAGGGTCTAGGGCTCGAGGTGTTTTACGTTTCGAGCTAAGGCATGTATTCTAGGGCCGCAGCAGCTGGAATGGGATTCGGGGACATATTACAATATTCTAACTATCAAAGCCCCTACATTAGGCATGCCGCTCTTCAAAGCCTGTGGTTCTACTTTTCGAGGAACAGCCAAGCCCCCATCCGCAGCGTTTCTGCACAGAGTCACTTCTCGTCTGGCCGTGTGGCCGTCCCAACCTGACCAGCCCCCTGGCTGCACCAGGGGGGTTGTCAAAACTAGGGTCCCTTTTGGGGTCCTTCTGTTGATGGACAAAATCCTGCATTACCCACTATAAGGAATATACCATAGTTCCCATAGTTTAGAGTCCTTAGGGTCATGCAGGATTTTGTCCATCAACAGTTGTTATAATACGGCACCGAATATTTTGGGTACCCAGAAAGGGGCCAGAATTTTGACAACCACCCACCAAGAGACGCAAGGGCCTTGAGGGTTGCGCTTATAACCCGTCTGCATGACTGTGCATACATACAATATATATATATATATATGTATATATATATATATGCATATGCATATATATATATATATATATATACATATATATATATATATATTCTTATATATTCTACACTGCTACACACGTATGTACGAGCATGCATGCATCCATCCATCCGAACACAAATACACCCGAAATTCTTCCTCTTCCTCCGCACAAGGGTCTCGTGTTGCTGGCATAAGTTGATTATTATTATTATTAGTAGTAGTAGTAGTAGTAGTAGTAGTAAAAATAATAGTACGTGCGTAGTGCATATTTGACGCTGCGTTGTCGTGCACGTCGCCCGCATAAAACCCTGTGCTTTCCGATGTACGCAGGACATGGCTTGTCTCAGTCAGGGGGGCGTTGAATTTTGGATCAGGATAGTTGTCAGCAGTTGACTCAGCAGTGTCGGATCATGTGTATTGTCAGCAGCTACTTGAACTATGCAAGAACAGGAAGCTTACCCCCACCCCCCCAAACCAAGCCAAGCCAAGCCAAAAATAAGTACTGAAAATTTATTCCAAGGCCCTCATAGGAAAAGCAAGGCCCTCATAGGAAAAGCAAGGCCCTCATAGGAAAAGCAAGGCTCATAGGAATGATGTTGATGATGTTCAACTTCCCCCCCCCCCCCCCCCCCCCCCACCCAACCCCCCCAACCCCGAACCCCCCAACCCACACCCCCACCCCCCAAGCCAAGCCAAGCCAAGCCAAAAATGAGTATTGAAAATGTATTCCAAGGCCCTCATAGGAAAAGCAAGGCCCTCATAGGAAAACCAAGGCCCTCATAGGAAAAGCAAGGCACTCGTACGAAATCCATAGACTTGATACCAACACCAGGGCCCTCAGACGAAATCCAAGGTCTCATCAACCCCCAGAGATTTAGTGAAATGTGCTTAAAATTCGAGTTTTGGGCATGTGAAGTAAGGAAATGCATAGCGTCAATTATGCACTACGCTCTTAGTAGTAGTAGTAGTAGTAGTAGTACAGTAGTAGTAGTAGTAGTAGTAGTAGTAGTAGTAGTAGTAGTGGTGGTGGTGGTGGTGGTGGTGGTGGTGGTGGTAGTAGTAGTGGTAGTAGTAGTGGTAGTAGTAGTAGTAGTAGTCGTAGTAGTAGTAGTAGTAGTAGTAGTAGTAGTAGTAGTAGTAGTAGTAGTGGATGTTGTTGTCGTCATAGTAGTAGTCTTCGTAATAGTCGTAGTAGTCGTCGTAGCCGTAGCACCTTCCTGGACGGAAAGGGTTATTTCAGATTCCAGAATGTCAACACGTTTGCCTGCAAGGGGGGATTGGTGCGTGTACTAACTATCACTGGACGTTTGCCAGGGCAGCCAAACATACTACTTATCAGCTTTTGGTGAGGGGAGCAATCAAGGCAACAGCCAGTACCAAGCCCTCACGCAGCAATAGTCATCATCGCAAAATGGGTTGGGAACCAAGCTCTTCAGCATCATTGCATTCAACCTACCCAGGCACTCAGAAACCGAAGAGTTTGTTGCCTAGGGTTGGGGTCAAGGGGTTTGAAGGTTGGAGTTAATTTCTTGGCAAGGCATTCAGACCTTTGATTTCCGAAGATGGTTTGGAATACACCTTCAAGATCGACCAGTATTACCTTTTTTTTTTTGTTCCTTCGGTGTTGCTTGTATTTGGGGCTTGCGGGTCCAATTTCCACCTATTTGCATTCCGACTTTCGACCTCTATTTTTGCTGTGTTTTGATTGTATTTGAGGCCTCTGGGCCCGGGACGCTATTCGCACGCCTATTCCCAGCGACTCGTATTCCGGCCCGTATGCTACCGCTTTTTCCGAGGATTGCACGAATGGCATCAGAACTTGCATGCCAAGAGGACCGGGAAGCTTCCAAACCCCCGAAGCGCAAGCCCTGAACCTGAACCCCTAAAAGCCCATAGAGCACAGGATGTGCCTGCAGTGCTGAAAGAAAGACTGACCTGAATCCCTACTAGCCTAATCGGCCCTGGGGAAAGGGAGTCACGGATACACTGCCAAACCATACAGGGCCCCCAGAACAATACAAGATATGAACATGAACAAGGCGCACACAGGACGCACACGCACACACAGAGACAGCTAAACGACAAACACTGTAATTACAGAGACATGATGTCATCGCCGGAGGACCCGACTTCAAAGTCACCAGCCGTCCCTATGCAGAGAGGCCGGCTACCCAAGGGTTTATGGTCCAGGGTTTCGGGCACCCCTAAACCCTAAACTCTAAACCGGGGTTACCCAGGAAGCTCTAAGCGTTCGGTTCGGGTTTGCGCTTTTGGTTGGTTCGTGTCTTAGGGCTGCAGGTTTAGTGGACTGGAGGGACTTGAGGTTTGAGGGTTTACACGGGCTTACAGGGTTTTACGAGGGTTTACAAGGGTTTATAAGGGCATATAACAAGGGCTTATAAGGGTTTAGGGTTTTTTACAGCTTCGGGGTCCAGTCTAATTAGGCTTTTCGGGTTGTCGGTTTGATGGTTTAGGGTCTTAGGGTTCAGGGCCGAGGGCTTAAAGGCTTCGGTTTCAGATTGCTTCAGGGTTAGAGGTTGAGGATCTATTGTTTTAGGGTGTATGGTTTAGGGTTTTCCAGTTGGGGATCAATGGCCAAGGTTGATGGTTCCAGCAAGAGCAAAAGGATATCAGCAATGACACCAAGCTGTGGACTGTTGGGGCGAAGATCAGGCTTCGGTTCATTCGAACTGACTACCACTAAGGATCCGAAAGTTGGCATGAAGTAATATACGGGCCTGAATAGCTACCAACATTATTCCTTATAGGGTTCCTGCGGAAAGACATACGGTAATATGCTCCCAATACTGCGTCCTAAACTGCCGCTTATGCCTTTGCACAGCCACACAAACGTCCTATTCTCGGGAAACGGTAACCCTATAGCCAGAGACTCCAATATCCCCTAACTAAGGAATATTCCTTAAATCTTAATAGAGTTCCTACTTTAATTTAAGGTATATTCCTTAATTAAGGAATATTGGAGTCCCTGGGTAGCTAGGGCAGATATCAGATAGAGGTTGGGGGCCTTTGGTTTCAGACAGACACAACTTGTGTTGCGAGAGCACGCGGCAAGGTGAGCTTCAGAGCTTGCCAGGCGCACTGCGGCAGCAGACAGCGGGATGACGATGATAAGTAAACTGTATAATTACAGAAGGAATGAAGCTGATACAGAGAAGCTGCACATAATGTCATACCATGATGCTCATGGCAGCAATGGCCATGATGAAGATGATGATGGCGACGACGGCGGTGCTTGTGACAATGACGACCGGGACAGGACGATATTGCTGGCGATGCCAACCGTGACAATGAGGAGGACGCGGAGGAGGAGGAGGAGGAGGAGGAGGTTGCTGATCATGGTGGTCGTGGTGACGCTGGTAATTGTGACGAGTTTGGCGACGGTGACGATGGTGACGGTGATGGTGATGGCAAGCTTTTGCTGATGATGGTGACTATGGCGATGGTCACGGTAATGGTTGCAATAGATACCACTTCCGTCGTGTAATCGTCGAAAATTGGTCTGACACACAAAACTGCGAGCAGTGGAACAAGTCCGGCCTGCCAGCAGTCATCAGGCCTCGCTTGAATACTGAGCTCGCGCAGTCTGTAAGACAGCTACTGTGAAGAAAGATGCTTTCAAACAGACATGGCAACACGCTTCGCTGAGCCTGTCGCAACTGGTTAAATCCGACGAGTTTGCCGGTTCACAGTTAAGGTTGTCTTGTGGCGCCCTGTTTAGTTCCTCAGCCCTACACCTCAGGCTTCAATGCTTGTAGCGGGTGTGCATCTTACGGGACCAGCTCAAGTATCAGAGGGTTAGGATTTTGGGTGTTCTGGGGTCTTTGGTGCGTGCTGCCGCAGTCTTTCTATGAAGAGTTTCGGAAGTTTGTCTCTTGTTGCAATTCAGGGTCACTGCTACTTGCCTGCTGTCAGCCGAGGCAAACGGGCCTACGGCTGCGGCATCGAGCTCCAGGAGCTTGGGCACGCAAGTTATGAAGACCTTTCATTTTGGGGACGGGCTTTTAGGGTTTGGGGCTTATTTTAGGGACGCGCTCTCTCTTTTAGGTTGTACGGCCTTGGGGCTTGCGCCGCCTTAAGATTACATATGGGGGTTTAGCAGGCGGTAGCCTGGGATCGGTGTCCAGCCGCTTATTCACGGATGCTTTGCGGGCCCGCCCTTCACCTACAACGCAGTCTCCGGCTTCGGGCTTCCGGTTTCAGGTACATCCTATCCTTTCGGATAGGAGTTCGGCTGCAGGACTTCAGACTGGACAGCCTGCGTCATGTTGTGATTCACCAGAAGCAGTCCCGTGTACATTGTGGTGCTGTTGAGGCAATGAGGCATCCAGGCATGTCGTCATATGGACATTATTTGTGTGCCTTTCGACCCACTGTTGCCGTTAAGCTGCGTTCCTGATTTGGCGTCTACCCTAAGCCCTAAGCCTTTGAGTCCCACATTGGGAAAGGCTTTCACATAAGGAAATGCGGTAATGATTTCAGTAATGGGGGCAAAATGATTTGTTCAAGAATTGGTATTTATTCCCAGGCGGGGAAATAAGTTCCAGCAACTGGAGATTCATGTTATCGCCGTGTCTGGCAGCCCAAAGCCTGAGGTGCAGAGCTGCAGAAGCTATGCCATGCCTAGTAGAGCCCACCAGAAAGGACGGCTCAGGGTCGCTCAGGGGCCGTCGGAGCAGTGCCACGGTGCCTCTGTTTTCCCTTGCTTTCGTTCCTCCCCCATGCATGAGCTCAGAACGCCAGCCCCATCCTGAATCTTCCTTCCTGGATGCCAATCACCATGCCGAGGGCTATTTGGGAGTTTCCGAAAATTAGGGTACCTTATTTGGGGGCCCTTATTATAAGGATCCTACTATTTAGGGTACTGTATTAGGGTCCCCTATTTTCGGAAACCCCTATTTCTTGTCCACTTCTAAGCCTAAACCCCAAGCCCCACACCCAACCCTAAAAGGCCCAAGGTTATGAATATAGGGTCGGAAGTATCGGTAACAACGCTCCTCTGTAGTCCCTCTACACGTTTATGCTGTACACTGTAGTATGGATGATTTGCGCCCTTGTACCGAGTTTGTTCCGCGAAACTGTAATTTGAGATATACCAAAACCCCAGCCCATTTCGTGTTGCCAGGGTCGGACATGAAGATGGATGCAGAGCCCTTAAACCCTAAGCCCTAAAGCAACAATGAGAAAGACGGACTCACAAACCGGAGCCCCACAGCCGAGGCCCAGCGACCACATTTGCCGGCCTTGTGCCCTGCTCTACAGCCGCAGGGGATGTCTCCGAGGTCCGAACTCCAAAAGAGACCCCTAAAGAGAGGCGTTTGGGGCCAGTCCCTAAGGCCCCTAAGTGCAAACCTCATGCTGTGTAAGGTTTAGGGCCTTTAGGGTTTGGGGTCCCTCAATTTGGAGATTCGGGGCCACCTCGGACTTTGAGGAATTGTCTGCTCCGGCCATGCGCTGGGCTTAGGGCCTCAGATCCCTTGCAGACCATGGTTTTCAAGCGTTTTGAACCAAAGGGTTGAGGGTTTAGGGTTAGGGATACGTACCACTATGGGCTATTAGACCTTATGGGTACCTTAATCTACCCTTAATAGGGTCCTAATAGGGATCCTTAGGGTCTAATAGCCCATAGTGGTAATTCCTCAGATGCGTAGTTGTGCAGTCTTTTCTGTACTCGAGCCAAGACAACCTACTTACTCTCGGTAAGGCAAAAGTGTCGAATTGTTGAAGAATACGATGCGCCTGCCACCCACAACCCAAGTAGGGTTTCCTGGAGGTTGGACTTGAGGCTTAGGGAAGCCTTACATCCATGGATTCATAGACGTTGAGATTCATGATGTCGAAGATGCTTTTCCGCGAACAAGCACAAAGACCACATACAACAGCACGTGGTGCATGCTTAACCTTGCGGGTGTTAGCCAGTACAAGCTAGGGCGAAAAATATTCAATGAAATGGAAGCTGAGTGGGTCTGCTTGGCCCATTGAGCTTAGGTCTTTGAGTTGTGAGTCCGTTTGAGTGGGAGAGATGCCGTATGTCAGGAACGTCATGCAGCTCAGGGCTGGGGGTTGGTGTTTAGAAAGAGTTCAGGGTTAGGGTATGGCCAGGGTTTCTAGCAGCTAGCAGCATGAAGCGTTGATTGTCGGCATGTGCTCCAGGCAGCAGCTGCCCATACTGCCACGAGCACACACATAGTGCCTTGGCTCCTGCAACAATAAATTTGCTACCCGCAAACCAAACCGCGTTGAGCCTCACATCCTCAAATTGCTGCCCTAAGCCCCAAGCCCCAACACGCTCAGCCCCAAACCCCTAGATGCTAAATCCGTTGCAGCCTCTAGGCCTCAAAACTCCGTTACCTACCCTCTCCCCCCGTCCCAAAAACGGCAAATCACAATCCACACTGACAGAATCCCTGACCCTAAACCGTAAGATCCCGCCGCAACCCCCATCCCGACACCGAACCCTCAGATTGCGGGGTTGCGAGGCTCTGGGCTCGTTTTGGGATTTCGAGTTTTGGGGTTGATGGTTTTGGGGTTGAGGGTTTTGGGTTGATGGTTTAGGGTTGAGTCGAGGGTTTTGGGGTTGAGGGTTTCAGGGTTGAGGGTTCAGGGAGGGATCGGGGTCTGGGGGGTTTAGGGGTTGGGGCTTTGGGCGTTTGGAGTTTTGAGGTGCGCGGTTGTTTTGCCCAAGCGTGGCAGAGAGTGACGCGATCCCTTGATATACGTGACCACAGTAGGCATATCTGCAGTAGAAGGGGCCCCCACCCTGTAATAGTGGTATAACAGGAATATAGTGGGGCCCTAATAGAACCCTTATAGTCACTATTACAGGGTGGGGGCAGCTTCTAATATCTGCATCAAGTTGCCGAGCAAAAGCCCAAAGTTCAGGGTTTAGGGTTTAGGTTTAGGGTTCCTCGGTTGGCTTTGCGGACGGCTCGGGCTCTTCGCTTTGGAACGCAAGATTTTCGGGGTCTCTCCCTAAACCCTAAACCCTAAACCCTAATCCCTAAACCCTAAACCCTAATCCCTAAACCCTAAACCCTAAACCCTAAACCCTAATCCCTAAACCCTAATCCCTAAACCCTAAACCCTAATTGGGGGTTTAAGTAGGGTTTTGGGGAGGGTCTCGTTTGGGCCTTTGGGGTTTCAGGGGCATAAAAGGGCTTCGGGAATTTTAGGACCCTTTAGGATTTAGGATTTTGGGGTTTAGGGCTTAGGGAAGTTTAGGGCGGGTTAGGATTTTGGATTTTGGGGCTTAAGGAATTTTAGGACCTGTTAGGATTTTGGGGTTTAGGGTCTAGGGAATTTTAGGACCTTTTAGGAATTAGGCTTTCTGCTGGAGCGCGACCCTTGCAATCGTGCTTTCTTTACGACGAGCGAGCGCAGAAACGGAGATTTGACCCCCAAAGCCTGGTTGCCAAAACTAGGGCTTGACCCTACTATTTAATAAGGTACCATATTGGGTCCTTATAAAAAAGGATCCTATTATTTAGGGTACTATATTAGGGTCCCTTATTTTCGGAAACTCCCTTTTTAGTGGTGCTGTCAGAATGCAGGCCTGCTTGAGTTGGTGGTGGGGGGGTTTAAGATTTCAGCGAAGCGCCCTCAGCTCAGCTCGCGCATTAGGGGCGAGCTTTGCCCTATAGGATTTCGGCTAGGGTTATAGGTTCGGGTGTTTTTGGCCGTGACTCTTGGACTGGAAATGAATCTATCCCGGAGGGGGTTGGGCCCTCAACAGATCCTTGAGCTTTCAGCCTTTCAGGAAGTTCCCGTGGAGGAGATGTACAGCATCGTCCGCGAAAGACCTTGCGAAACAAGATCAAAGGTGACTCAGCCAGGGACTGGAGATTGATCATGGGGTGCCCAAGCCCTGAATCCCTGAACCCTGAACCCCAAACCACAAAGCCCTAAACCCTAGTTTGGTGTGGCCTGAACCCTGAACCCCAAACCACAAAACCCTAAACCCTAGTTTGGTGTGGCCTGAACCCTAAACCCCAAACCACAAAACCCAAAAGCCCTAGTTTGGTGTTCAGGATTTGGGCGTATTGAAGGCTGTAGTGACAGGACTTCTTTGGGGCCTGCCAAGATGAGGCTTCGGGTCGGGTGTCTAGACAATCCAAGAGGTTTAGGGTTAGAGAGTTTAGAGGTTTAGGGTTTAGGGGTTTAGAGGTTTAGGGTTATAAAGTTTAGAGGTTTAGGGTTCAGAGGTTTAGAGGTTTAGGGTTTAGGGATTAAGGTTTAAGAGTCTAGTGTCCCCTGATAACCTTAGGGATGTACGACTTATGTGTTACTGCCATGTCTTGGTTCGGTGGGTATGGCAACTGCTACTGCTACTGCTACTGCTGCTGCAACTGTTATTATGAGCACTACTTCTGTTAAGCCTGCTCCGCCTCTTACTCCTACTCCCAACTCCTCTCCCTCCTTCTCCCTCCTCGCCCTCTCCCTCCTGCTCTTGCTGCTGTTATTTCCACTGCTACTGATACCGCTACTGTTGCGGCTACCACTACTGCTGCGGCTGCGCTACGCAACTGCTGCTGCTGCTGCTGCTGCTGTTACTACTACAACTCCTCCTCATGTACCGTTACTGTTCCTCATACTCCTGCTACTGCCAGCACCACAGCCCTGGCGGTGTACACCAGGCAAAATGCAGGAGCAGCTGAACGAGTTCGATCGATCCCCCGAAAGAGCTACTTGGTGCTGGCTTAGTCGCTGTACAAAGGGCTTCGGGCACGACAGCCCGGAAGCCATCAAGTGGCAAAGGCGAAACCCTGAAACTTGCTGCTTGTGGATGTGTCAGGTTACAGTTTCCATGAAATTTCGCAAGCGCAACCCAACACAGGCTAGGAGAATCTGTAGTCTACAAAGAGCCGCGAGCCCGGCGAGGTTCACGACGGAAGCCTGAAAGCTATGTTAAACCCAAAGCTTATATCCCCAAACTTTCCCCAAGCATGCCAGTTACAAAACCTGAACTTAAGTTCAACCCAAGGTTCATGACGAATGGCAAGTGCTGGTACAGCATTGTCCATACGCCTGGAATTACTTGTCAGGCCAGCATCGAAAACATAATATCGCAGGGCTCCTTATTCTAACCATAGTATTATGTTATACCCCAAAGCCGTATTCTAATTATTAAGGCCCCTATATGAATGCTTTGCGTCTGGGCCTAGGGTTTAGGGTTTGCGGTTGTGAGGCCCGGGCTGAGGTGAGTGTTTGGAGCTCAAGGTTCAAGGTGTTAAGTGTGCTCCTACTTGGAATTAGAGGGTTATAAGGGGTTTAGGGTTCCTTGGAGGGTTCTATAGGGTTTAGAATTTAGGCTAGTTATAAGTAGGGCTATAAGTAGCGTAACTATACTGATAACCCATGTTAGGGGACTTATAACCCCACTTATAACTGCCCTGAACCTTCAAGTAAAGGTCCACAGATTAGGGTCTGAGTTTTTGAACCGGGTGGGGGGGGGGGCGGGATTCAGTGCTTCAGCAAACGCGTCGATCTCTATCTGCTGAGGCCTTCGTGCTTCGAGGCTATAGCCTGACAGAAGCGTCAGTAGTGTCCCCTTACCGTTCCTGTTTGCAACTTCCACATATGTAGTCCCTAAGTAGGTATGCTATAACATGCTCCAGAACCAAATTCTCTAACTATTGAGACCTACCGAGACTTTTTCTGTACCCTGAATCCTGCTTTGGTTGTTCTGTTGCAAGATCCACGGGATGAGCCCTGTGAGACGGGGGTTCCTTCACTGAGCCTTGGCCAGGGCTAATATAGGAGTCGGAACAACTACCAACAGTGTTGCCTGAAGCTCCTCCTTATTCGTGTTCTGTTTCTTTGTTGTAAAATATACGACGAATCCCTTTTCGAATCAGTTTAAAGAGGTTGTCTCTAGGTGGACAGCGGTGTCCCTTTGGGGTTTGGGCGTTTCGGCATTTGGTGCTTAAAGTCCAATTCCAACTCCTCATCAAAAAACACGAACTACACCCCAAAGCCTAAACCTTTAAATTCCAAAAGCCCAAAAAATCGAATGACGACTGAACCAGGCCTTCTTGAGCGTGCAGACACTGCAGCGGCGATGGGCGCCACAGGCACGTAGTCGTACAAGCTCCATTGGACTCGCTGGAATTTCAGATTGAGAGCGTTTGGGGTGTAGGGTTTAGGGTGTAGGGTTTAGGGTTTAGGGTGAAGACTGAAATTGTTGCTCGTCTTTTGCTTGGGCTGGCACCTGCCGTCTCTGCTCATGGGTGAAGGGTGCAAAATCACCAGGGGCACGAGGGCCATCGTGCATACTCATACTACTCATACCCTGTTCATAAGCCCCGCTAGCTCTAAATCCTAAAGCCGCATACCCTACCCCCCGCCCCACACACACAAAAGAAAAAGCACTAAACACACAAGAATTTAGGGGCCTTAATAGTTTGAACAGGGTTTTGGGGCCCGTTATGGTACCATTATAATAGGGTGCCCCCGAAGTAGTATTGGCACTTATTTAGACACCCCTATATTAATTGCCCCAAAACGCAACCCGAAGCCTGGCTACAGGAAACCATGTGCCAGCTGCAGATGATGGCAGCACCGGAGGCCATTCGGAAATGCTGGTTCCTTTGTGTTCGCTAGGTGTTTCTCGTTGTTTTCGCTCCCAAACGCCGAACTTTCAAAAGTTTTGGGCTCGCATAAGTCAGTCTTTGGTCTCGATTGTTGCGATCTTACGTAATTCCCTCGGGTAGTGGTGTTTGCGTGTTTCTGGGAGAGAGCGGTTTACTTGTGTGGAAGCACTCAGGCATGGCAGTGCAAAGCCTTATCAGTCCAAAGAAGCCTTCGGTCCACATCAGACCTTACCCCTCCACCATCATGAAGCCCATCCCCGAAAGATTCCTGGGCAGAAAGCTTTCGAGACTTGGTTTAGAGTCTAGGGTTGGGGGGTTTTAGGCTTCGACTGGTGAGTTTACATTTTGAGTCCTAGGTTTAGGTCTCCTTGCCATCTGAACCGCAGCACCTTCAGAAGTGTTTCAGCTGGACACCCCCAAACTTATCAAACTCTAAAATTTTAAAAGCCCTCAACCCTAAACCCAAAAGCCTAAACAAGGCTGCTTTGTCCTTCTGAAAAGGGTCTCCGAGCCTTGGTGGTTTGAGATTTGCTTTCGTGGTGGGGTCTCAAGATCATGGCCTAATTGCTCAGGGCATTGTGCATTCTTGGTTCTGGCTAAGAGCGCTTCGTTCTGTAATGATTCAGGCTAGTTTTGGGTTTAGGGGTTCAGGGTTTAGGGTAGAGTTGAATGATTTTCCGTATGATTCCTTCCGGCTCCTTATTCTCTCTAGTAAACCCCAAAACCTTAGTCCAATTAGGCACACCTTGCACAGGTCCCCTCTTCACCCAACTGGAAGACGTGCTTTCCGGTGCGGTGCAACTCCAGAACGACATGATCTTCTCTGTGTAAAGCTAGGTAGGGCTTTGGGACATTTTATTATATTTTCCCTTATTGGGCTTAAGAGGATCTTACCTACTAATATTTTTCAAAGGCTTTGAAAGCACCTCCTAGAAAGATATTTCCCAGACGTTTGGCACTATTTTCTCCTATCTGTTGGGCTTAGGCTTTAGATCCCGCAGCCCTGCATGTCACGTGGCCGCTGTCTTCCGTGTACAAGCTTTAGAGATGTCGGAGAACTAGACCAGGCGCAACCACACCTTTAGGTTTCGGAGCTCGTGTCTAGGTTCTAAAAACCCTAGACCTTAATCCCCAACAGACTCAACCATACTATAGGAGCCTTTATAATTACCTACAGTTTCTGTGGTTTCCCCGTTATACTTATAGTATAATGGGCCCCCAAACCCTGTTCTAAATATTAAGGCCCCTGTAGTAATCCTTAACAGACCTAGCCATATGGGGGTTTCCGAAAACTAGGGGTACCTTGTTTTGGGGGTCCTTATGATAAGGATCCTACTATTCAGAGTACTATTTTAGGGTCCCCTATTTTTGGAAACTCCCATATGCCCTAAACGAAGACTGTAACTGGCCTAACTGCGGATTTGGAGCCGAACAATCTCGTAACCTCGTGTGACTTCTCGAAGCTCTGCTTGTGTTACTACTACTACTACTACTACTACTACTACTACTACTACTACTACTACTACTACTACTACTACTACTACTACTACTACTACTACTACTACTACTTTTACTACTAATAATAATAATACGACTACGACTACGACTGCCACAGGTCATGTCGTTCGAACCGAATTCATCCTTGCTTCCACCTTCCACCAAAGCAGCACGCAGGCGCGAGAGCACGTGTCTCAAACCCCAAGCCCTCCCTTGCTTTCGCCATGGCGACCTCCCTGGTAACAGAACCGGAGTTGTGCTTGCTGGTCTCCTACTCCTTACTGTGAGACTTGGTGGTGTTTGGGATGTGAAGTATCAAAAACCAACCTTTGCAGCCAAAACTCTGCGGAACTCCATTCTCCACTCGGACTACTTGGGCTACCCGAGTTCGTGTTTTGCATTGGAGTCGGAGAGTAGGGCACATGGCATGTGTAGTGTGTTTGAGTCGTTGGGTCTGGGGTTGTTGCAAGGATGATTTCCTAACTGCTGAATGCTAAATCCCACACCGAATCAAGAGTCATCCTAAATGGACAAGGCAGGGGAAGAAACCTACGGCTTCATCTTGCAAACCGTGCCTTAAACCCTCGACACTGGCACGACAGGAGTCCGAAAGGCATGTGCCACGGTTAGGGCGCTGGCGTTTCCGCGTTTCGGCTTAGCCTTCAGGTTGGAAGTTCGTAAACGCGCAACCCAAGAGTTGAATCCGAGGTCCCTCCAGGCCTCCTGACACGTCGTACAGAGGTCGTGGTGTTTGTGTGTGTGTGTGTGTGTGTCTCTGTCTGTGTGTCTCTGTGTGTGTGTGTGTGTGTCTCTGTCTGTGTGTCTCTGTGTGTGTCTCTGTGTGCGTAGGTAGGGTTTAGGGTTTGGGGTTTAGGTTGTGCGTGTGTGTTGCATGCCCTGGTGCGAAGGGTACTACATGGACTTGCTCGCAAAGTGTTGTTTGATGTTATTGATGCTGTTGAAATCGCTCGTTCAAGCCGATCGTCGTCGTGTTGCGTATTGTCGAATTAATCACAAAGAAAAGGCTTCTCCGCAGGGGGCACCTGGGGGAAGGATGGGGCAGGTGCCAACGAAGACACCCATCCTGACCTGTGACATAGGAGTGGGACGCCACTCCTACGTACCTGCGCATGTTTATGAGATTGCAAGGTCATGTTAGTCCGTGAACCATCGACTGAGATTGCGACGTCAGTGATTCCGTGAACCATAGATTGAGATTACCACGTCAGTGATTCCATGAACCATCGATTGGCGTTGTGATGTGAATTTCGCGATTTCCATGTCAACTTGACTCCAACTCAAGTGTGTGAGTGTCGGCAGGCCTTCCCATTGGGTGCTTGTCGTGAACTCTTTGCGTTTATGCAGAGGGTCCCAAGAATCTTCAGCACAGAACATGAACATGACCATGACCAGTGCACAGGGATGAGCATTGCTTGCTTCAGATGTTACACGTGTGCCGAGAGCAGAGGATCAGCGGGAGAGTCTATTATTACAATGGTGCCATCTTCATCACTCCGTGGGACCATAATGGACCATATTAAAATCGACCAGAATCCTTCGACCAGATTGCAGGACCAGACTTCATGACCAAACGTGTCTACATTCTTGATTGGTTGATCAAAGATCCAACAGTGATTGTGTGCGATATGTGATACGTGTTTGTTTTGTGTGTCGCAGGGTCTGTATAGTCGGCATGGTGTTCAGCAATGGCTTGCCAATTCCTCCAGCACCCGGTGACTGGTCAGTGTTGCCTGTCTGGGCTAGGGAGCATGACCCCTATCGCGGAGTGCCAGTGTTGACTACATCAAAAGCTTCATCAGTGGCAGTGCTTCATGACCGTCCTTCGCATGCGGTTGTTTCGGACCGGGTTGAAAGTCAGTCCGCGGCAAAACCGAAGCCAAGTTGTGCTCCGAAGCTGTTGCGGCGCCACACCGCGTTAGCACCAGCACATCGTCCTGACAACATTGGAGCAGCAGTGGGCCAAGCTTCACCCGAAGATGACAGTCAGAATGCATGGAAGTGTCGTATAGATGAGGGGGAAGACAGTCGTGGTAAGAAGCCTCGTCGTACAAAGCCGCCGGTTCCAATGGCAGCCCCGCCAACGAGGCAGCATGCTGGTATGGATCCTGACACACTGTCTGGTAGAACAAAACTTAGTCTGCCAGCCGTTGAAAGGTTTATTCGGTATTCCGAGGGCTTCGTGAATGACGATTTCATGGCCATGCGAAACCATCTTGACAACATGTTGCCGACGGAGGTGTTGGGTGTAAAACTATCCAGCAGCAATCTGCATCTGTTGACGTCGTTTCTTGCAGCAGCACGGTTCAAGACATCAGAAGTGGCCACAAGCTTCCAGTTTTTGCATCACCAAGAACACCGAGTGTGGATCGTACCCTTGCTGAATATGTGGAAGCCAGCCTTTGGATGCCCGCAGTTGTTGGCAAGGAGTGGTTGGCATTCGTACCTTTTTGCTCATGGGTCTGATGATGTTGGTCTCTTAGGGGTCCTGCAATATCGAAAGATGCGTCGGTCATTTCCGGACGAGCAGTATCCCACAACTGGGTTTTTCTGCGCAGCTACAAACGATGTCGGTGATGGAGTGTGGCCAATTTTGCGATGTTGGGCGTCTTGCAAGAATCAAGCCGGTGTCGTCGTAGTGGGCCTAGCTGCGACTGAGAAACCGCACCGGAAAGTGGAATCAGGGGGCATCTATGCAGAACAGCAGGAATGCTCTCGAGGTCATGTCGTTCACAACCCTCGCAATAAGAGATGGTGTATCAACCCAGATGTGGCGCAAGTGGTGGGACTTGCAGTTGTACAGACCGCAGCGTAGTGATCCATAGTCGACGGTTCAGGAGCGCATGCGCAGTGGAAGGACGATTTCAATGCATGTCTTTTGTTTGTTGGCTTGTGTTCTCGCATGTGCTGTATGCTTCCAACTCCACGCGATTTGGATGAGATGCTTGTAGTCGTGACGGTCATGCGGTCGTTCGGTGCTAGCGCCCTGCGAGTGCTTTCCTTAAGTGTTATTTGGCCCAAAGTTCTGCGTTGTGCCTCTTTTGTGTTGTCGGCAAAGACCATGGCTTTGGTACGCGGTGCCAGGATCCGCCATGAGTATCCGTCGCCTCGCAGTCCGGTCCCTCGACGTCGTTCCGCGCATGATGAAGAATTGGATGCTTTCTCCCCACATGGAAAGAAAAGCCATTCGCTTGACTTACCAGACGAGTTCCAATCTACCAGAGAGTGTCATGATTCCAGGGTGATCGGTGGCAGGAAGCTTTTCAAGACCGTACAAGCAACGCAGTGGTCTCGTGAGTGGGGCCTTGCGGGAAAGCGGATTGAAGACATCTCTCTCCCCGAGCTGACATGGCTTGGGTGGGAGAATTGGGGGTTGCGTGCATTGTCAGCCGGATGTTACACCTCCGTAGTGTTTGCCCGCAGCGTGCGGGAGGGTCAGTGCATGGACATTTTTCAGCGAGAGCTCCGTTCGCGTCACATCGACATTGAATCAGCAGCAATCCAATGGGCTCAACATGAAAACCAGCTGTCCGAAAAGACTGCTGGCAGCTTGTCCCGTGAAGACAAGAACGATGCCATGAACAAGTTCGTGAAGTGGATTGTTGATCAGGTTCAGAAGTGGAGTGTTTCGGCCGTTGAGGAGTCTCAAACTGCTCGTATTCGTCAGCTTGAGGCACAGATTGCAGATTTGAAGTCGCAATCTCACCAGGGTCAAACGACAGAACGAGAGCCTTCCAAACGGAAGGATGCCAGTGCTGAATCTTCTATGCCTGCGAACAAGAGATTGCGTGTCGCTGGGAAGAAGGGGCGAGAACAAGCCGGTGATTTCCATGTGACTGCAGATCAGTTGTTCGAGCTGGATCCCCCCCAGAAGCCGCTGCGGGCTGACTGCCCACCAAAAGCTGGAACATCCTCCGTAACCTCGTGGTTGAAGAAGCTTCCTCGTGAAGTTCAGTCCCAAGCTTTAGTGGATTACAAAGCCATTGAGCCATTGGTCAAAACATGGTCGGATGACAAAATCGGATCTCTCAAGGAGATTGCTTCCGCGTGGGGCCTCCCGGTACAGTTGTCCGTGGGTATGTCGAACAAGGATCTGGTTCGAGTGATCGTTGCGGCACACCACATGGCAAAGTGAGCTCTCACGTGTGATGCAGCTGATTTTGAGCGCTTCAAAGCGCAGTGGTATGCAATGCTCAAATTCTTGAGGTATGCTCCAGCATTCGGCTCATCAACCCTGGCGAGTTTTGGGTTGTTTTTCGCTGGGATGTTGTTCTTGGTGCTGCTGTTTCGGTCAAAAAAGATCGTTCGTCAGCTAGAGCTTTGGAAAGACAGGTTTCGACAATGTGGAGTGTCTCCCGAGGCATATCGAGGAAGCGCTTTTTCTCAGCCGCATGTCGTGTATGTTCGCATTCCGATGTTGGCGGTGACACGGAAGGGATTGGTGTCTTCTACCTCGCATTCTTCGAAAGCTGTAAAACATTCCATGTTCTATGTTGGGTCTACCACCATTACGCTTGCTCGTCGTGATGCGGACCGGTATCGCAAGTTCAAGCAGTTGTTTGCCACCGCTACAGTTCAGGCCGAGCCGTCCGTGCGGTACTGGTTTCATCGGAAGTCATTCTTTGAATATGTGTCGGTGGCCCTTTTCCCATGTTCATGTGCGGTAAGTGCCCGTGTGTGCGAGAACGTCTTTTTGCAGATGTGGAGGCCGGGGTTGAACTATCCGCAAACTAACAAGCTCATTTTTCAGAGCCGTGGTGTGAAAGAGACACCGCTTATGAAGAAGCATGATTTCGTGGCACGGCGGACTGGAAGGAGGTTGTTTCTGAAGCTGCGGAGGCGCGCGAGGTATGTGCATCAACATTTTCGGAGTAAGCCGGCAAAGCCGACGTTGAATCGTGAAGATGCGTGGATGGTTCTTCATGATCTCACAACACAAGACGGTCGAGCATGGAACATGCAGTGTAGTTTGGGTTCTGCACGATGGCATGATGATCATGTGTATGCGCTGTATAAGCTCGCGGCCAACTTGGAAGAGCCATTCAGGTCCAGAGCGCGTGGTCGTTTGGCAAAGGTTCTGCAGTTTCGGCGTCAGGATGTTCCCAGAAGAAATCAACCTCTGGTTGTGCCGTTTCTTGCGCATTCAAAGTTCCCGGCATTTGTCGTCGCGTGGTTGAGGGATGTAAGGCACAAGTTTCAGAATGTGTTGCTGCCATTCCATTTGCCATCCAAGACGGTGGTGGAAGGAAGTCATCAATGCGTGGGCAAGATGTTGTTCTCCTTCAAAGAGTGGTTCAAAAGGTTCCAGTCGTCTCCTGGGGAATCGTTTTGCAAGTGCAAAGAGGTCTTGAGCCAGCATCCAGAACTGCAGACCGTTGGCGGGCATGTTGCATCTCCGGCTGAGCGATTGTCCATGTCATCACATTTGAAGAAGTTGGTCGGATATTCGGCCAAAACCATGGTGTTTCCCAGCAAACATGTGTTCCTTGGCATGACGCGCAAGCTGGTACAGAAATGGGCACGCATTCACAGATTCCCGGTTCATCAAGTCGTTCATGATTGGGAAAGCTTCGTTGAGGAGCAATGGCCAATGCATTTGAGAGCTGTGTCTCATCGTTTTACATTTAAAGATGTGTGCCGAGTGAAACAACATCTCCATCGTCTTGTATGTCACAGTCGCGATCATGCGTACGAACAGGTCATGGTGTATTGCCCGGATTTGTTTCGGAAAGGGGTGCTTGCCACGTTCGAAGATACCGATGTGTATGAAGAGCTTCCCTTCCTTCCGCAAGTTTATCGTCAGACCGATGCAAAGCAGATTCCTGCCAGCTTGTTGCGAAGACATCCATGGGGTTTCAGGTTGACGGCACCGATTCCTCATGCATTTGTTTTCTTGAAGAAGAAAAAGGACTACCAGTCGGCTAGGAGCATCATCTCGTATCGCATGTCGATGTTGGCACCAGCATTGAAGGTTGCATCACTTGTTCTATGTGAAGTCACAAAAGAGGTTTTTCCAGAAACCTTTGCGCGACTGAGTTTGAGCAGGTTGTGGCCAAGCTTGCATGGGTACCTGCGAGAAGTTGTCATTCCATGGCGTGATGTCACTGAGTTCGAAGTGGTTTGTGACGATTTGGTTGGGTTTTTCAACTCGTTACCAGTGGAACGCATCCAGCAGGCAGTAGAGCTTGTCTTTTTGCAGTATTTCCAGAACCGAGCGTGCAATCATCCGGATGCTTTCATGTTCACGGTGCATGATCAACAAAAATTCTCAGAAGGCCGAGTCTTGCGAGGCAAGGCACGAGTGTTTCGGAGTGCGGTGATGCGGCAGATTTCTGCAGGAGACGTGAAACAGCTTGTGGCACTCTCTTTCCTTTTCGCCAAATTCACCATCATGGGCCGATGTTTCCGGCAAATACGAGGTTCCCCTATTGGGAATCAAATAAGCCCTGCACTGTGCGATTTGACCGTGAGTGTTGAGGAAGCGATGTGGGCTGCAAGCTTTGATGTTGCAAAACACTCCTGGAAGGCCATGTGTTGGTTTGGGAGGTATGTGGACAACCGTTTCCTGGTGTTTCCAAGGGGTTTCCTGCAAAGTCCTGCATTCCAGTCTCTGGTGAGTCCGATGTTCTATCGTGATCCCGTCATCCTCGAGGCATGCGATGCTGGTGATTTGTTGGGATGCATGGTGGATATTGAAGCTGGGACAGTGGAGTTTCGTATTCCGAATGAAAGCTGGCAGTATCGACCGATCAACAGCGCAGGATCTCGGAGGTTGAACTTGGCAGGCTTTCGATCGCGGTCATGCCTCATCAAACGGCAGGCTTTTCCGAAGAGTGTGGTTAGAAGACAGTTGAAGGAGTTAACTGACATGTACATGTGTTTCGGTTTCACTCGCGATGATCTCCAGCATGCATGAATGAGAACATGTGCCGGCTCGCGTAGCTTTTGTGTGTTGCATGCCCTGGTGCGAAGGGTACTACATGGACTTGCTCGCAAAGTGTTGTTTGATGTTATTGATGCTGTTGAAATCGCTCGTTCAAGCCGATCGTCGTCGTGTTGCGTATTGTCGAATTAATCACAAAGAAAAGGCTTCTCCGCAGGGGGCACCTGGGGGAAGGATGGGGCAGGTGCCAACGAAGACACCCATCCTGACCTGTGACATAGGAGTGGGACGCCACTCCTACGTACCTGCGCATGTTTATGAGATTGCAAGGTCATGTTAGTCCGTGAACCATCGACTGAGATTGCGACGTCAGTGATTCCGTGAACCATCGATTGAGATTACCACGTCAGTGATTCCATGAACCATCGATTGGCGTTGTGATGTGAATTTCGCGATTTCCATGTCAACTTGACTCCAACTCAAGTGTGCGTGTTTGTTTTCCATTCACTGCCCAAAACTCCAAGACAGCTCAGCAGTTTTGCACCGTGTGTGCAACTTTCGACGAGTGTCCGCACTGTCTCTGCGCCTTCATTTCAGTGGTGGCTACAGACCCTTCACTGTAAACGTGGGGGGGAATATTTTGATCTCTGCATCTTCCTTTCCGAGTGGATTGCAGATTTATGAACCGCAGCAATGCTCTAATGCATTGTTTCGCCGCGATTGCCCTGGAGGCATACAGCCTCGAAGCTTTGTGCAGGTCTTCGCAAAGTTGTTCTGAGTGAATAGTATAGGGGGCCTGAATTGAATAATTGCCAATGCTATTGCGGGGGCTTCTTTGTTATATCTGTGGTGTAATACCCCCAAACCGTAGTCTAATTATTAAGGCCCCTATGTCAAGAGGTTGCCAGACTTCACGAACGTATGATATCATGATATGCCAACGGTACACATCGTCTCTCTCCCGGATCGAGACTGCCGCCCCTCAGACCACATAACTGGCCCCACTGCTTATTCTTAGCAGTCTGAGCACTTATGGTAGCTCTTATGGTATCGCTTCGGAGACCTTCAAAGGACTTGAATAGTGACAAAGACAATGACGTTGATGATGATGATGATTCTGGCATACGTGGTACAGAGCACCATGATATTTGTTAACCGGCTTAGGTAAAAAAAGTCACAGGAAGTTTAGAGCATGTTGAGGTGTTGTGTAGATCCACATGACAGCGATCATGCCAATCATGATGGCGGGTGCAACGGATTCAGAAAAATATCCCAAGGATATTTAAGGGTATGTTGAAGAGCCCTAAACCCTAAACCCTCAACCCTAAACCCCTAAACTCTAAACCCTAAACCCTAAACCCCTAAGCTCTAGAGGCCTTTTGGGTGGATGTCCATAGGATCTTTAAGGAGCCATATAGATCCCTTTAAGGAGCCCTATAGGATGGGCCCAGGTGTGTTTTTTGGGTTCGGCACAGGGACCCCTGGTCATTCCCGCTTCTGTGCCTGGCGCCTTTTTGGGCGAGGTTTATAGGGTTTAGGGTTTAGGGGTTTAGGGGGTTTAGGGTTTAGGGGTTTAGGGGGTTTAGGGTTTAGGGGTTTAGGGTTTAGGGGTTTAGGGTTTATAGGGTGTATAGGGTTTATACGGTTTAGGGTTTGGGGTTTAGGGTGCCTGCAAATGAAGGAACTTGAGCAAAGCAAGATTGCAGGTAGGTTTCCAGGGGCTCGCAAGCAGAAGTAATGTGTGCGTCTGTACATGTATGTATATGAGAATTTATGTGTGTGTACATATACATATGGATATGTCGCATATGCATATACATATACGTACAAATACATGTTTCACCCATCGAAACTGTCAGCCCTGCCTCAGTCCCACCTGCATAGCAAAGGAAAAGAGTTGAGATACAGGGGAGGCACCAGTGCCTCGGGGTTTACGGTTAGCGAGCAGGTTTCAGGACTTGTTGAAGGCTTTCTGTAATTACGCAATTCAGAGGCGAAGGCGGGCCGCAAAGCAAGAGACCCTCCAGACGCGGTGCTCCAGCTGCGCATTGATGATGGCAGCTTTTCAAACGGTGTTTCTGCACGCCGTCGGTGCATGCTGTAGTGGGTGCGGCTGTCCTCGTATTGTAGCCAAAAGGCCGCCGAAGAGCCGAACAACCCCAACCCTTGATTCACTACGCTACCCCAATACTTTCTGGTCTTCATTTCAAGAGCCCTGTCGTCATCCCCATTAAGGTTCAAGGCCATCAGTAAGAAGCATGATAGACATGAACTAAGATCGGTGAAGCCGCGATTGAAGCCGCCGCACTTTGATTCCGGGTTCTGCATCCCAACACCATGAAAGCTTCAGTTTGGACAACCCCCCCTGCAACCTAAAGCCTGTGAAACCCAGGAGCCAGTCAGCCTGTGATTCTTCCTTCTTAGGCTTTAGGGTTTAGGGTCAAGAAGGGTTTGCGGCTTTGGGTTTGGGGGATTTGGTTTAGGGATTACTACTTGAGCTCGCCATGTCAGGGCTGGAGTGCTTGCAGGAAATCTGCCCCCGAAATTTCTTCCCGTTCCCCACGGACAGCGGCTTTAGTCTTCTGTGAGAAGAGTCCGTCTTGAGCGGATTTCCGAAGTAGCTGTGGCCGTGGGTCCTTAGAAAGAAGCAGTAGCAACAGCAATAAATAGGCTTGAAACCTTGAAACCTATAGCACTAGCAGTCATAATACATGTGTTATCCTGAAGTATAGTGAAGCCCCCCACACCAACTATTTACAAAGAGCTTGGTAAACATATGCCTTCAAGGCAAGAACTTTCCAAACTCTATAGATAGGCCTGGACCCTCGTCTTGGGATATGGAGGTTTTGGGTTTCAGGGCCTGTGATGCCAGCTAGACTAGACTTCGGATATCGGCCGTCTGAAGATGTAAAGATCCGGCGTGCCCTCAATGGCACAAGTGCCTACAGTCACGCCGCATTTCGGTCGTAATCGGCCGTGGTTTGGCGTGCTTGGCTCTGTGTGCCTGAGGTTTTAAGAGCCGGTGCAGAGTCGCAAAGTCCCGCCCAGCACCAGTCCAGAAAAGCCAGTAAACGGTTTCAGGGTTTCAGCTGTCAGGGTATAGAACGCTGGGATCTACGGTTGCAGTCTTTGGGGTTTGAGGCGCACACGGGTATGTATTTCTGTTTGCTTCAGGGTGCCAGACACCATCAATCTAAAGTCTAAGCCCTCACCTCCAAACCCCTATGCAAGCCTTGAAGGTCTTACAGGGGCCTCAAGGTGTTAGATGTTCAGGACCTCAAGGACTCGATGTAAGCCAGGGCGCGAGAGCGGTACTTTGCAGACCGTCGGCATCTTTTGGTGCTGTTCCCGGCTGGTGGTTTGGATGTAGGGCTCAGGTACTTTGTGAATAGAGTTTAGGGTTTAGGGATTGTGAATACAGCTAGCCACATATCTCTCTTCTAGCCCGTACAATATGATGATATTGTAATATACAGTCTAATCGTTAAGGCCCCTATATGCGTACAAACCCAAAGCTCTGAACTCGGTTTCTACACCTTCCATCCGAAAGCTTGATAGCCAACAAGCAATGCAGCCGTCTGAGTAGACAGTTTGGCATTACCCCTTACGGTACGTAACTGAAAATTTGAGATACACTCCAATCCTCAATCGAACTGAAAAAGCACACTGTCTCCCTAAGCTATATAGGATTTTGTGGTTTGAGGCATATTCCCTACTCCAGCTTCCACCGGCGAAGGAAGGTTGGCACGAGTCTCTCCGCCGACAGGGCGGTTCGAGACCGTCGACTCAGTTTAAAGAGGTGCCTTGTCAGTGTCCGCATGCTTCTTTACTGCACCCCAAACCCGAAATCGCTGAAGCCGATCATCAACCCTCAAACCCGTTACCGCCCATAGAATCCAAAAAGTCGGGCGACCAAACCGACATCTTGGAATGTGAGTTTCCTGGAGAGCCGACTAAGCTGCCTGTGACAGGAAACCTTCATACCTCGATGCATAGTACTTCGTCTTGGGGCTAAACCCTAAACCCTGAACTTGCTAACGCCCGTTGAGAAGCCATGCAGGGCACTACACTTTCGGAGGCAGATTCAGCTCTTTGGCTCGTGGCCGTCATGGCTTTAACTCGTTGCTGCGCCTTCGTAGTACTTTCTTCTACTTGGAGGTTCATGGGTAGTTGCAAGTGGGGTTATAAGTCCCCTAATATGGGTTATAAGTATAGCTACCCTACTTATAACCACACTTATAACCACCCATGAACCTCCGAGTAGGGCCATGGCCCATATCATCGAAATCCTTTCTTCGGAGTGGTGCAGGACATCTCAGTCGGTCGGTTGCTGCTCCATGGACTTGATCGGACTTGAACCCTAAGCTCTAGCCTTAAAGTAAAAGCCAGAAAGTTGGAATATGATTATCTTAATGGTAAATTATAAGGTATCCTACCCTGAAACCATATTCCAACTTTCTGGAGTTCCCTTTAAGCTTTGAGCCGTAAAAGGCCTAAGCCGAAAGAACCTCTACGACGCCGTAGTGACTGGAAGGGAGGGCTGTCAGCCTGGGAGTTTTAAGCGTATAGGTCACGTTCACACAAACCCTCAAGCTTACTAAGCCTGGGTAACGCCAGCCACTGGAGACAACCGCTAGACCATAACGAGACCAGCGGTACACCACGTCCAAAATGTTCACCCGGTCTGCTGGAGGGTTTCACAGGTGCGACCACAACGCTCCCCCCCATCCACTGGCGGGATTCCAGATCACGGCCAAAACGCTTTACCTTTCAGAGACACGACGTGGCGGCGGGATTCAGGACCCCCGCCATAATATAACGACGGGATTCAGGAATGCCGCAGAAATGGTTTCCCTGAAGCTGGATTTAGACGTTTCGCGGGCAAATGAGGCCAGTGTAAGAGAATGTACAATGGAGCTGGCTTTCACGGGGTGCAAAAGCCGGACCTGGGCGCAAAATGCGCACCGCGCCGCCAACAGAGGGGCATCCAGGGAACCTCCCCTCGCGGGCTCTTCGCGGAAACACCAACCGTT